GTTCCAACCCAGAAAATCAGAATATACATTCTTTTCAGCTGCACATGGGTCATTCTCCATAATAGATCACATACTAGCTCACAGAGCAGGTTTGAATAAATCCAAAACAATCAAAGTTATTGCCTGTATATTATCAGATCTTAGTGCAATCAAGCTGGAGATCAATAGCACAAGAAACCATAGGAACTTCATAAACACATGGAAATTGAACAACACTTTCCTTAATAATTGATGGATCACAGAGGAATTTAAAGAAGAAATCAGACAGTTTTTACAAATAAACAAAAATTCCAATACAACATACAGGAATCTATGGGACACAATGAAAGCAGTTCTACATGAAAAATTCATAGCACTGAATGCCCACACCAGGAAATTAGAACAAGTTCAAATAAACAACCTAACTATGAATCTTAGACTCAAAAAAAAAAAAAGAACAAGAAAAACCCAAAGCTCAAATGAGAAAGGAAATTATAAAGATTAGAGTAGAAATCAATGCAATGGAAATTAAGAAAATGATACAAAAAATAAAAGAATCAAAGAGTTGGTTTTTTGAAAGAATAAATAAAATTGATAAACCCTTACCAAGCCTTATCAAAAAATGGAAAGAAAAGGCAAATATTCATGCAATCAGAAATGAAAAAGGTGAAGTCACAACAGATCCAAAAGAAATCCAGAGGATCATTAATATCTACTTAAAGAACCTGTACTCTAATAAAATGGAAAACACAGAAGAAATGGACAGATTTCTAGATACTTATGAATTATCAAATTTGAATGAAGAATATAAAAACATTTTAAACAGCCCAATTACAATCAGTGAAATTGAAAATGTAATTAAAAACTTAACAACAAAGAAAAGTCCAAGTCTTGAGGGATTCACTGCTGAATTTTACTAGACATTTAGAGAAGAACTACTGCCATTACTCTCCAAACTTTTCAATGAAATTAAAAGGGAAGCAATTCTTCCAAATTCATTCCTGGAAGCAAGTTTCCCAAACCAGGGTAAGACACAACTAAAAAAGAGAACTACAGGCCAATCTCCTTAATGAATATAGATGCAAAAATCCTTAATAAGATATTAGGAAAAAGAATACAGAGGCTCATCAAAAAGATCATACATCCTGACCAAGTCAGACTTATTCCAGAGATACAAGGATGGTTCAACATACCTAAGTCAATAAATGTAATTCACTATATTAACAAAGTCAAGGACAAAAACCACATGATCCTCTCAATTGATGCAGAAAAAGCATTTGACAAAATTCAACACCCATTCATGATAAAAACCTTACAAAAAATTGGAATAGATGGCCTATATCTCAACTGAATAAAGGCTACCTATGAAAAACCAACAGCCAACATCATATTAAATAGCCAAAAACTGAAAACCTTCACCTTAAAATCAGTAACAACACAAAGATGCCCACTATCACCACTCCTCTTCAAAATAGTTCTGGAAATATTAGCCTTAGCAATTAGACAAGAAAAAGAAATTAAAGCAATAAAGATAGGAAAGGAAGAAGTTAAACTGTCATTATCTGCTGACGATATGATACTCTACATTGAAAACCCAAAAAACTCCACCAAAAGACTTCTAGACTTAATTGACACTTTTAGCAGAGTAGCAGGATACAAGGTCAACACACAAAAATCAATGGCCTTCTTGTACAAAAACAACAGATTCACTGAGAGAAAAATTAGGGAAAATTCCTTTCACAATAGCACCAAAAAAATGAAGTATCTGGGAATCAATTTAACAAAAGAAGCAAACGACCTCTACACTGAAAACTAAAGCACTCTGAAAAAAAGAGATCGAAAAGGATATAAGAAAATGGAAAGATATCCCCTGCTTCTGGCTAGGACGAATCAACATAGTGAAAGTGGCCATACTATGAAAACTGCTATACAGATTCAATGCAATGCCAATTGAAATTCCAACACTATATTTCACAGAACTAGAATGAAGAATCCAAAAATTCATTTGGAACTATAAGAGACCTAGAATAACAAAGTCCATCCTGGGCAACAGACAATGGCAGCGGGTATAACAATTCCCAATCTGAAACTATACTACAAAGGCACTGTGATAAAAACAGCATGGTACTGGCAAAGAAACAGACCTGAAGATCAGTGGAACAGATTGGAAGACACAAAAACAAATCCAGATATACTCAGCTACCTCATCTTTGACAAAGGGGCTGAACACCCTCAGTGGAGGAAAGATAGCCTCTTCAATAAATGTGGTTGGAAAAACTGGATTTCAATCTGCCAAAGATTAAAACTGAGCCCTTATCTTTCACCATGCACTAAATTAAAATCCAAGTGGATTAAAGATCTAAATATTAAAACAGAAACACTAAACTTGCTGGAAGATAAGTTAGGCAGAACCTTGGAAGACATTGGCATAGGAAAAGACTTTATGAACAAATCCTCAGTAGCACGGCAACTAGCACAAAGAATCAGCAACTGGGATCTCATCTTATTAAAAAGCTTCTGTACTGCAAAAGAAACCATCAGCAGAACTAAGAGACAACCTACAATGTGGGAAAAATTTTTACCAGCTGCTCCTCAGACAAAGGATTATTATCTAGAATATATAAAGAACTCAAAACAATTAGCCCCCCCAAATATAAAGACCCGATTCAAAAATGGGCATCCATAATAAACAGACATTTCTCAGACAAAGAAGTAAAAGCAGCAAGTAAATATATGAAAAAATGCTCCACATTACTGGTCATTTGAGAAATGCAGATGAAAACAACACTGAGATTCCATCTCACTCCACAAAGAATGGCTGCTATCAAGAAATCAAACAACAAATGTTGGTGGGATGCAGGGAGAAAGGAACCCTTCTCCATTGTTGGTGGGAGTGCAGACTGGTGTAACCACTATGGAAATCAATATGGAGATACCTCAAAGAACTTGGACTGGAGGTTCCATTTGACCCAGCCATCCTTCTGCTGGGTATCTTTCCAAAAGAACTAAAACAATCATATCACAGTGATGTATGTGCACCCATGTTTATAGCAGCACACTTTGTAATAGCTAAAACTTGGAAATAGCCCATTTGCCCATCAGTTAGAGACTGGATAAAGAAGATGTGGTTTTTCTATAAAATGGAATATTATTCAACCATAAAGAATGAGAAAATAAATTCATTCATAGGAAAATTGATACATATTGAAGATATACTCCTAAGTGAAATAAATAAGTCACACATGTGTAAATACTGAATAGTTTCTCTGGTGTGAATAAACTGTAATAATACATAAGATCCTAATAAGATTACTGACATCGTGAAATGGGAAGAAAGGGGCTAAAGGTGTAGGGAAGGTTGGATGGGTAGTGAAAGGGTAATAAGGGAAAAGAAAAAAATGTGAGATAATGAAAAGATGAAAATAAAGTGTTTGTAGATGGGGAGGGGAGGAGGGGGTGAAGGGAGGGCAGGGACAAGGGGAAAAAATGAGAACCAAGACCTGTCATGTAGACATACAAGATCCCAACAATCAATGTAACTGTCCTGTATCCCTAAAATGTACCAATAAACTCAATTAAAACTGAAAAAAAGGAAGAATTCCATGTGTACATGGAGGTATAGGGCATAAAATCAGTAAAGGCAAGTAAGTGGACATTATAGGGGATGTTCCAGTGACAGAAATTTCCAGATTTGCTGTAACATTAAATACTAGTAATGAAAAAGTAAAATAACAGCATGAAAAATGCTTAAAGTCTTTGAGTTCTTCAATAACATTAGCATACCTAATTTGACAAGTTTATTGTGAAAACACTGATGATTTTTTTAGTAGAAACATATAATTTGGACTTTCCCTCAGTAATCTACTTTTACAGTAGGGATGAATGAAATGAAATAGAAAGACACCAGAAGATCAAAAGGAAAATAGAAGAGAAATCCCAAAGAGCCAAGATATATGATGTCAAGGTACAAATTCCCAATGATGAATGCTATCATATTGTACACCTAAAATGTGCCAATAAACTTATAGTAATGAAAAGAAATTGAAACTACAAGATTATGAATGAATCTCAGAGTCGAGAAGACAAAAACATAGAAAGAATACATGCACTGTATATTACATACAATTATATTCATATAAAGGTTTAATAAATAAAACTTACACAGGGAGGCATAAATATGTAGGAAAACCATAAAATACACATGGAAATTATTATCAGGATTGTGAAGGAGGATGAGTAGAAGGAAGATTCTTTAGGGCAACAGAAATAAACTTTACTTATTTGTAACTCATACTAGATGTTTAATACACTCTCCTCTATTGTATATTTTCCAATTTAAAAATTCTTGGAGCTGGCTAGGAGCAGTGGATTTGTAGCTGAAATACCATAGTGTCAGGAGCCAGCTCATGATGGGGCCATTATCAGGAGGCATCTTGCCTGCCTCCTGTGCTCCATAACTTTCCTCCCTTTGTTCCCCAATTTACCCTGCCAAAATAGATAGCCCAGGGTGCAAGGAAATGTTCCTGGTCTTCTGTTTATTGTAGTCCTAGTTGACATGGTCCTAGGAACAGCAAGCTTGCATGTCTCTGTTCCCACCAGCCTTACCAGTCAGTTAGTCTCCAAATGTATAAGAAAAGCAGATTACCAAGGACACCTTGCCCCATCTCCTTTGTACTTCCCCTCCTCGTGGCTTAAATAAAGTGACATGCAGGCTGAGGTGTTCTCTGCTCAGCAGGTAGGGAGGCCCACCTGGTCCCACTTTAATTCTCTTTTGTTTTCTGAATCTTCCATTGTCCTGCTCAGACCTTGGACTCTTGCCATGCAGGCCATGGCCTGATAGCACAAATGATGCAGTGAGAGTTGGGCAGGGCTTTGGAGCAACAAAGAAAGTGATTGAAGAAAAATACAGCAGAAGTAATATTTATTCAGAGACGTTAGTACAGATCACAGAGCACTCTGGGTAAAGGTAAATGGCTTCTTAAATCAGAAAGACACTCCCAAGGCATGCTTCCCAAAGAAAAATGAGTACCAAGGGAAAAGTAAGTAAATAAGCTGTATCTTTGTCTAGCTCATGCTTTTTTGTGTGTGTCTTTGTAGAATTGCTAAACAGGCTTCCTTCAGGGATGACTCTCAAAGCACAGCAGTTTAAAGTTGATTAAAAACATATGACAGAATTTGTACCTTTACATGATATATCTTGGTTCTTATTTTTTCCCAATTCCTATGCCCTCCCTTCAACCTCTCCACCCCTCCCTATTTACAAAGACTTTGTTTCTGTTTTTTCCTATTTTCATATTTATCCTTTTCCCTTCTTTCTTTTCCCCAATACCCACTTCCCCTTCCCCTTTGGACCTTTACTTCCCATGTGTGGTACAAAGTCTCAATGATGAATGTCATCATATTATACACCTAAAATGTACCAATAAACAATGAATAAAAGAAAAAAGCATATGCCTCATCCCTATGCTAGAAATTTATTCTAAGAGAACAACTGTGGACTTCTCTAAATGTTTACTAGAAAGGTATTCAGTTGAATATTATTTAAATAGCAAAAAGATTTAAGATAATATAGAATAATTCTAAAACAGAGTATGTATTTATAGTATGTTAATTGGTATAAGAAAGTAGATTGCAAGATATTACATATAATATGATCTAATTTGGGGAGACTCAAAGGATTTACAGCAAAAGTGTAAAGTGAAACTGTGGTGTATGTAGGGACAGTGAGAAGGATAGGGAAAGGGGAATAAGGGAAAAGGAAAAAAATATGAGAAAATGTAAAAATGGAATTAAAGTGTTTGAAGGTGGGGAGGGGAGGAGCAGGTGAAGGGAGGGTGGGGACAAGGGGAAAAAATGAGAACCAAGACCTAGCATGCAAATGTACAAAATCTCAGTAATGAATGTAACTGTACTGTATACCTAGAATGTACCAATAAATTCAATTTTAAAAACTGTACTGTACACCTAAAATGTACCAATAAACTCAATGAGAGAGAAAAAAGTGCAAAGTGAATAATAAAAGTACAGATGAATTTTTATTTACTTGCATTTTGAAATTGCCTATAATTAATATATCATCACTTGTAATAAAATTACTGATATTTAAAATATAATTCAAATTTACATAGGAACTGTTGAAAATAAGCATACTGTAAAAACAGTAGTTAGAATAGATTTTAGGTTTCTTTCTAATGTGTTGCAATTTTACTCATATCTGAAATTTAAAATATAATTTGAGGCAGAAATATTTTTAATCTAGGGATTAGAGACTCCTAAATGCCTAATTTCTTTTTGTGCATTTGTACCCAAATTCTTGCAAAGACTAAATGTTTATTCCACCAATAAATGTATTAATTTTGTAAGCCTCACTTAGGCTTAATGAATTAATTATCTGGGGATCTTGGTCAAGTGCAGATTTCAATATAATGGATTTTGGGGCATAGCTTTCTTCTCTAAGGAGTTTTCAGGTGATGTGATTAACTACTGGTGTGAAGACCACACTTTAAAGTATCAAATATATGAAATACATCTATGCTATAACAGTGAGGACTCAGGTAATTTAGAGCTGATTACAAATGATTCAGTAAACAATTATTGGCCATTCACCAAACCCTTTAAACTCTTTCTATATATGTTCTTTATTATGGAGGAGAAAAAAAACAAGCTATTAGAGTATGATAAACTTTAATACAACTTTTTGTGGTCTGCGTGTACCTGGCTGTTACCTGTTGCTGGAGTTGGAGGATCTTTTAGCACCTTCATAAGCTACAGGTTCTTTTGACTCTTGGTGACTCATCCCTAAAACTATCTGTTAAATGATTTTAATGTTAATATTTAAGGGTGTTGTTTATTATTAGGAAAAACTGGGTCATTAATTTTCTTGCAAAATAAGAAATTTCCAATTATTCAGCGCAGGTTGTGCTGAATATTATTTTTGATGGGAGCTATACTCAATATTGTTAACCCAGGCTTTTTGGTTATCTGGTTCAGATCCAGCATTTCTGAGAAGACTTAAAGTAGCAGAGTAGTGAGCTACTTTTCTTTGGGTGCTATATTGGTGCTTTTAAAAAAGAAACAAAACAAAATATGTAATGACTATGATATAGAATCTAACTTATGTTTAATTGTTTATCTTGAGAATAATATACAGCCACAAATTCCTTATTTTCATAAAATTATGGTACCAACTTTTTCCCCATGGTATCCTCTCTCCCCTTCCTCTCTATCTCTTCCTTTCTCTTCCAGGTTATTAAATGCAAAGCAGCCATTGCCTGGGAAGCAGACAAGCCCCTCTGCATCGAAGAGGTTGAGGTAGCTCCCCCAAACCCTCATGAAGTCTGAATTCAGGTGAGTAAGGATTCCTGGGCAGGGACATAAAGTACAGATTCGATTTCTGTTAGTTAATCCTCTGAGATATGACTCAGAGACCTTAGAGTTTCCACTATAGAAGAGTTATATTTTTAAGGGCCGGGGATTTAGCTCAGCGGTTCAGTGGCCTGCCTCGCAAGTGCAAGGACCCGAGTTCGATCCCCAGTACAAAAAAAAAAAAAAAAAAGAAGAGTTATATTTTTAGGTAAAGTGAAAAAAAG